GCTCAGCTCTGCCAGCCCAGCCTGGGCTCAGCTCTGCCAGCCCAGCCTGGGCTCAGCTCTGCCAGCCCAGCCTGGGCTCAGCTCTGCCAGCCCAGGCTCAGCTCTGCCAGCCTGGGCTCAGCTCTGCCAGCCCAGCCTGAGCTCAGCTCTGCCAGCCCAGCCTGAGCTCAGCTCTGCCAGCCCAGCCTGGGCTCAGCTCTGCCAGCCCAGGCTGACCTCAGCTCTGCCAGCCCAGCCCAGGCTCAGCTGTGCCAGCCCGGGCTCAGCTCTGCCAGCCCGGCCTGAGCTCAGCTCTGCCAGCCCAGCCTGAGCTCAGCTCTGCCAGCCTGAGCTCAGCTCTGCCAGCCCAGGCTCAGCTCTGCCAGCCCAGGCTCAGCTGTGCCAGCCCAGCCCAGCCTGAGCTCAGCTCTGCCAGCCCAGCCTGAGCTCAGCTCTGCCAGCCCAGCCTGAGCTCAGCTCTGCCAGCCCAGTCTGAGCTCAGCTCTGCCAGCCCAGCCTGAGCTCAGCTCTGCCAGCCCAGGCTCAGCTCTGCCAGCCCTGGCTCAGCTCTGCCAGCCCGGGCTCAGCTCTGCCAGCCCAGGCTCAGCTGTGCCAGCCCAGCCTGAGCTCAGCTCTGCCAGCCCAGGCTCAGCTGTGCCAGCCCAGGCTCAGCTGTGCCAGCCCAGCCTGAGCTCAGCTCTGCCAGCCCAGCCTGAGCTCAGCTGTGCCAGCCCAGGCTCAGCTGTGCCAGCCCAGCCTGAGCTCAGCTCTGCCAGCCCAGCCCGGGCTCAGCTGTGCCAGCCCAGCCTGAGCTCAGCTGTGCCAGCCCAGGCTCAGCTGTGCCAGCCCAGGCTCAGCTGTGCCAGCCCACGGGCAGAGCTCACCCCTGAGCCTCTGGAGCTGGCAGAGCCCCGGAGCCAGGCGGGCTGCAGGAACAGGAGCCAGGGGAGCCTGGGAGCAGCACTGGGAGCAGAGCAGGAGCCCCTTTCAGGGCTCTCTGCCTTTTCCAAGAGCATGGTTCACGCTGGGTTTGTGCAACTCCAATGTAATGACTTTATCAAACACCTAATTAATGTCATCAGCATAAAAATGCCCTTTAAGGCGACTTAGAATAATAATGAATTGATTCCTAATTATGACAGCTATTTCAAATCATCCTTTCAGAAACTGGAATTCCCTTTCCCTCTCTGGAAATATTGTGCCTTTGTCAGGCAGGCACAGCCACTTATTCTTGTGCTTCAAGTGCCTGACAGCTGCTATTGATTTTTTTATTTTCAAAAAGCAATGGCATTTGACTTCTATTTCTATTTTTCTATTTGAGGGAGGCTGGAGCACTGATCACAAGGGCCCAGAACGAGCTTCTTTAGGGAGGCAAGCAGGGAGTGAGGCAGAGCTCAGGGACAGCTCCTGGCTGAGTGCTGGGGTGGGGGAGGAAGAAGGAAAAGCATCGATCGTTCCCATGGATCAGCTCATGGATCCACTCCAGGGAGCACCCAGAATGAAATGCTCCTGCTCACGCCAGCCCTGGGGCAGCTGCAGCCACGCAGGGCTTGGAGCAACCTGGGCCTGGGGGTGTCCCTGGGCCTGGGGGTGTCCCTGGGTT